GAAAGAAAGAAAGAAAGAAAGAAAGAAAGAAAGAAAGAAAGAAAGAAAGAAAGGCTAAAGGTTGAAGACTGCCTCCTGGCCCTGTAAGCCCCTCCAGAACCCCGCCTGAGACACAGCTTCTGGTTTCTCCTCTTGCAAGCTAGGGAAGTCTGTGAGGCTGTGGTGCTTTCCTTGAGTTTGGGTCTTTGCAGCCCAACTCTGTCCCAGTAGGGACAACAGACACATCTGCACCTTCTGGCTCATTCAACACCTAGCTAGGAAGTGACTCAGTGTAGCACCGGGTTGTGCACCATCTTCCCCAATCCTTTGTGAGCCAACACCTGGCTATTTGTGGGCCTGCGGTTGTGGATGCTGACTGATGGGTACAAACATAGCAAGCAGCTCTGCTGTGGCTGGGTAGGATTTAGATAGTGGGAGAATAGCAGCAGCTCTTCCTAACTGGTGCAGTGGGAGTTGCTGAAGGCTAAATTGGCTTCCAGCAGCCCCTGCAAGGGTCCTGTAGAAATAAGGGATGCCTACTTCCTTTGTGGCATTTTTGCTTCTGTGAATGGCTTTGTAGGGTCTTGAGACCCTGCCCTACTGGGCCAGCCTGCAGGTTCCTGATACCATCTGGAAATAGGGACCAGATGAACCCTTCAGGAGCTATTGGGCCACCTTGTGCTCCATAGGGCCTGCTCAGCCCTGAGCCTCCAACTTTCTTGCCTGTCTGTCCCACTCCAACTCCTTCCTATGAAACAGTGGATCAGATCACAGCCCTTGGGACCATCTCTGACTGGGGCAAAATCTCCTGAAAACTCAGCCTCCAATCCCTAGCCTTGACTTCCTTTGGGTGGGAAGGAGGACTTGGTTTATACAGATGCTTGCAGATAGTGTGACATAGGAGCAGTCTCCCCAGTGCCAAACATAGGTCTTGGTAAATTACTATTTTGAGACAGTCTTGCTCTGTAGCCTAGCAAATGAGTTTTATTTATTATGTGTGTGTGCGCCCATGCTGCAGCACTTTTGTGTGGAGGACAGAAGACAACTTTTGGATTAAACTTAGGTCATCAAGCTGGGTATGGTGGCATATGCCTTTAATCCCAGCACTTGGGAGACAGAGGCAGGTAGATCTCTGAGATTGAGGCCAGCCGGGGCTACAGGGAGACCCTATCTCAAAAAAAACAAAACAACTACAAACTCCTTAGGTCATCAGGTTTGCATAGTAATCATTTTTAACATCTAAACCATCTCTTCCAGGTTGTTGGGTTTTTTTTGTCTTTTTAAGACAGGGTCTCCCCATAGCCCCAGTTGGCCTGGAACTTACCATGTAGACCAAGCTGGCCTTGAACTCACAGAGATCTGCCTGCCTCTGCCTACCAAGTGCTGGGATTAAAGACATGCGCCACCACGCCTGGCCTTCTTCCAGTTTTTTTTAAAGTAGCTTTATTAAGATAAGATTCATATAACTGAAATGTTTAACGTGCACAACTTGATTTTGGTTAGTTCTGGTTGTCAGCATAGTCACATTAGACCATTCATTGTCCTAAAAGAAACCTTACACTCTTTGCTGTCTGACCAGCCTGGATAGCCAGCCCTAGTTTCAGCTCCAGCTCCAGGCAGCCACTAGGCTGCTCTCTCTCTCTCTTGGGATTTGTCTTTGTGTTTTGGGTACCAGCTTTCCAGTCTGGAGTTCTTGTTCTTATTCTGGGTCTTTTGCTATCCCAGCTGTCTACCAAAGCCCTTCCCTATGCTCTCTTATCAGGATTGGTGACTGACCCAGAAGGTGGGTTCTGGTAGGTCCCTAGTATGCCATGCAAAGTAAGCCTAGGCAGAGGTTTGTTGAATGAATAGTGATGCCAGTGAGGACATGAGCAAGGGTGGCCTGGGTTCTGAGGAATTTTGTACCAGTCATTCAGGTCCCCTTTGTCACTTTCAGGGAAGGTCGTATAGATTTAGCTAACATAATGTCACCCCAAAGCCCTGCAGCCAGAGGCCAAAAGGTAGAATACTGTCAAATTGCTGACAAGACCTCACAGGTAAGGGATGTGTGGTCCACCTGAAATGGAGGCCAAGCAGGGCCAATAGGTTCAGGATACACAGGGTTCAGAGAGTTGTCTGGTCCAGGCTCTGATTTCTCATACTGTGTGTGGGCTTTGGAGTCCTCTTACAATGTGCACAGAGTGGTGTGGGGAGAGACTGAGCATGTTCAGCTCCCCGGAGACTGGTCATGCACAACTAGTGTCTTTTTAGCTCTTGGGCCTTTTGCCAACACCCATTCCTGTATTTCATCAAAGCAAGGCTCTGTCACTCTTCCAGCAGCCTGCCCTTATCCCAGCCCATAGCCCTTTCTACCTACTCAACTCTGGAGAAGCCAGAACTCTTGGGGCCCTTAAGGACCTTGTGCAAAGAAGCCAAGAAATGGGAGGATTCTTGGCTTAGCTTGGAGGCTGTGTGACCTCTAGCAAGCAACTTGCCCTCTCTTGAGTCACAGATTCCACAGCTAAATGGGGTAGTGTGAAGGGGGCCTCCAGTTTTCTGAATGTTGAATAAGAAGCACATTAAGAGCTCCCAGCTCCAACCCACTCCACTCCCACTTTTTCAGAGATCATGTGGCTGCAGCCAAAGGGTTTGGATTTTTTTTCTTGTCACTGCGCCCTCCCCCAAAATGGCAGTAGGTATACTAGCTCAATTTTCCTTTTACCAGCCTCTTTCAACAATTGAGTGTAGCTGCAAAGGTAGAGCCAGAGTGTCAGTCCCACTCTTAGACTCACACTGCACTCCTCCTGTCAGAGTCAGGGGAGTGGGAGATGCTTTAGACAGTAAAAGTATAACAGTGCCTAACATTTGTTATGGTTTTATAGGCCATACATCATGCTCTGTGTTTTTTCCTTATGTAGTGGGGCTTTCTTTTTTTTTTTTTTTTTTTTTTTTTTTTTTTGTCTTTTTGAGACAGGGTCTCCCTGTAGCTCCAGCTGTCCTGGAACTCACTATGTAGATCCAGCTGGCCTTGAACTCACGAAGATCCGCCTGCCTCTGCCTCCCAAGTGCTGGGACTAAAGGCATGCGCCACCACACCTGGCCCTCCTTATGTAGTTTTACTGAGGTATAATTCACATGCCATAAAATTCACCATTTTAAACATGTACAATTCTGTGGGGTTTAGCACATTCATAATACTGTGCAGCCACCTTCAGTATCTCATTCTAGAACATTTTATCACCTCCCAAGGAAACCCTATGCCTTTCCCCTTGTGCCCACCCTACCCCTCGGGGACCATTAATCTGTCTTCTGTGGGTTTGCCTATTCTAGATAGTTCATGTGAATGGAATTCTACAGTATGTAGGCCTTTGTGTCTAAGTTCTTTCAGTTATACACTTGAGGTTCATTGCCTTATGTGTACATTAGAGCCTCTGTCCTTGTCATGCTTCACATGTGGTGGACTACAAGTTGTTCATCCATTTATCAAGCATCCATGGATATTTCAGTTGTTAGCACCTTTGGACATTTGGGAACAATGCTTTCCAGGTGCAGGTTTCCATTTGTACCATTCTCTCAGGTGAATTTTTACCTAGGAGTAGCATTGCTGGGGCTCACAGTAGCTGTATATTCAGCCCTTTTCTGAACTATCAGACTGTTTTCTAGCTGCTCCATTTATCTCCCTATGCTGATTTATTTTGTTGTTGTTTTTTTGAGACATAGTCTCACACTGTAGCCTAGGCTGACCTGGAACTCATGGCTGTCCTCTGCCTCAGCCTCTCACATGCTGGGATTATGGGCATAAGCCATGGTGCCTGGTTTCTGTGCTGGTTTTCACGTGAATTATCTTATCAGTTCTCACAGAAACTTCATGAGGTACAGCTGGAACTGTTCACACCCTGCCTTTCAACAACCTAGTGACTACTTTAAGCCCAGAGGTTTTCTGCTTTTGGCTACCCTTGGCCCCTGGCAAATCTTTGGCCATGCAGAATTTGGTCTCTCTTTCTGATTGATTCTGTTTTCTGTCTTCAGGATGAGGACTTGGGGCTGTATCATTCACACTGTATTCCTGGTGCTTGATAGGACACATTTATTGAATAAAGTACCACACACAACCCCATTTTGGTATGTTGGTAAGGAACTTAGGAGAGGCAACCTTGCTTTTGGGGTTTTCAGATGCTCTCGGGGTTCTGAGTTCTCCTAACACCCCATAAGTTGTAGAATTCCTCCAAATAAGTATCCTAGCATTAGCTCTGAACAGAATACTTAACCCACTGCTGGGGAGTGGGAGATGACTTCTTGTTTATCTGTTTGCCCTGCTCTCTCCTATAGTCTAAGGTTGCTTATGACTTGTCATTCTTTTTCTCCTCTAGGCAAAACCCATTTATGGTGGCTGGCTACTCCTGGCTCCAGATGGTACTGACTTTGACAACCCAGTGCACCGGTCTCGGGTAAGGACACCTGAGTGAATTCTTGGGGTAGGAGGAACCAGACAAAGAAAGGGGCCCATCTAGTAACAAATAGGTGGAATAGGAGAGGGAGACAGGAGATGAACCATGGAACTAGGTGACAGGGTCAGTAGATACCCACATTTGGCCATCTCTGAGATCTCAAAAAGAGTTTGACTTAACACATATCCAGAATTCTTTCTCCAAAATGAGCCACTTTCCTATGGGTATCATCTACTGTGTGGGTTAGCTGGACTCTGAAAACAGTCAAATGGAAAAGACAAAAGAGTAGTTAAAATTGGAACCCCAGGAGTCCTATTTTCAATAATACTAATCTAATACCCAGGTCCTTCAGAGCCAGGACAGTTCCTTCCTGAAATGTTCTCAGTACTGAGTTCTAGTGAAGAGCTGAGGTCTAGAGGCTTGTGCTCTCTTGATAAGCCTTGCATTGATTGCCCTGTCTCCTGATCTGCTGGAGCAAGAGGATGGTTAATACCACATTGTGCTGACCAGAGGCTTGCTATTTATTCCATTGGGCAGCCCCTTGGGGGTTCAGCACTAGTCAGAGCATTCTCTTTCTTTTTCCACATACTCTCTTCCAAGTGTGCTCATATAACTGCTCCAGCCCTGCCCACTACTTGCCTTGGAACCCAGCTTCCTTCTTTTGGTCTCTGCTCGCTCCTCCTCACCTGGGCAGGGCCTTACAAGTTCATACTCTGGCCCACAGACGTGGCATTGTGTCTCAGGTTTTTGTGCTTCCTTCTGGAGTGGGTTTGTATTTCAAAGATAACACAAAGATAACACCTTATAGATGCTTCTGGAAAACAGGTCGCAATAACCTGCTCTGAACCTCCAGCCTGGAAACAGCCCTTGTAAGTCCTCTCTGCATGGCCTTATGAGTCCTCTTCTTGACCCTGGAGGGCCAGCAGTTCCAGCCAGAATGCAGTTCCTAGGGAGCAAGTACCTTTCCTGGTTGTGTAGAACTACCATTTCCAGTTCCTGACAGGAAAGTCATTATTTCAAACTATAATTCTGGACAGGAGAAAGAGGTGTACATTGTAGTTAGTGCTAGTGAAGATTTATACATTATTGGATGTTTTGAAATGTTGAGACTAGAACTTGGGTCCTTTTGAAATCAACCTGAAAAGAGGGGGTATTCAGGAGCCATGCCTATGAGTCATGATTTTTAGGCTCATAGCCTCATGTGGTAGACAAGGCCTCTCATCCAGAAAAGAAGATGTGCACACTTATAGTCCTTTTCATTCCAGTTTTCAGTGGCATTTGACTAGGGTAACAGCCCTGGAGGTCTGGCCTTTGATGGGATTTTGTCAGTTGGCCTTGCTCCTCTTCTCTTTGATTTTTATTAGCTCATTCCTCCACCTCTGTTGGATTCTCCAGGCTTGACTGTCTGCTTCCTGTCCCCTGTGATTGCAAGAGCAACCCTTTTATATCATTTCCCAGCCTTTCTCCGAAGGGGTGCTGTCAATGTCTCTGTATTCTCAGGTTATTCTAGATTTTATAAGATCATTTATCCAATAAATTGCCATGTATTCTGTGAGGGTTCTATGCCAGCCACCCAGAGGACTATAGATAGGTAACCACAGTTTTTGCTCCTGGGGAGCTTCCCAATTTTAAAGACTTCATGGAACATATGAAAGTACAAGTCACAGAGAGCTGGCTCAGCGGTTAAGAGCACTGGCTGCTCTTACAGAAGACCGAGGTTCGATTCCCAGCACTCACATGGTAGCTAACAACTGTCCATAACTCCAGTTTCAGGGGAATCCAATGCCTTCTTCTGACTTCCACAGGCACTGCACGATATGGGTGCACTTACATACATGCAGGTAATACACTCATATATATAAAATAAAAATAATAAATAAAATATCAAAAAAAACCAAAACAAAACAGGTGTGGTGGTGTGTAAGCCTTTAATCCCAGCACTAGGGAGGCAGAGATAAGCAAATCTCTGTGAGTTTGAGGCCAGCCTGGTCTACATAGCAAGTTCTAGGCCAGCTGGAGCTACAGGGCTTTTTGGCTCAAAAAGACCAAAAAAGAATGAAAATACAAGTCACTTGTGATTGGGCTCATTGTCCTGGCCCTGTCTAGCTAATGAATCACTGTACTTCTGTCTGTGGTCCTCCTCCTTCCATCTGCCCCAGAAATGGAAGCCTTGGAGCCAGCATTCCTTAGATTCTGTGTGTCAGACACTGGAACTCTGCCAGCTGAGACCAAGGGCTAGGACCCCTGACCCACCAACTCTGTGCTCTGTTGCAGAAATGGCAGCGACGGTTCTTCATCCTTTATGAGCATGGCCTCTTGCGCTACGCCCTGGATGAGATGGTAAGTGTCCTCACTGTTTCCTGGCCCAGGCCTTCACCAGGTCTCTCAGCTATGGCATTACTGATCACATCGTGTGTGAGTGCAGCCCTCACAGACTTCTGTTTAGTAGGAATCTGGAATGTTTTAAAAGACTTGTAGTAGTACCAGGTAGTAACGAATGTTCTGTAAACCCAGACCTTGTGCTTGAGGTTGTGCTTCTTTAGCGGATGTTGGTGAGAGGAAGCAGTGAGGGAGGAAGTCAGTTCTGTTCTGTTCTGTTCTGTTCTGTTCTGTTCTGTTCTGTTCTGTTCTGTTCTGTTCTGTTCTGTTCTGCTCTGCTCTGCTCTGCTCTGCTCTGCTCTGCTCTGCTCTGCTCTGCTCTGCTCTGCTCTGCTCTGTTCTGTTCTGTTCTGTTCAAGGCTTATAGAAGTTCGGGCTTGGCATTAGGGAAAATGATGTCCTGGATTTCAAAAAAGGTTTATGCAGGTATTGGCCCTGCAGGCCTGAGCAAGGAGAGGCAGGCTCATGTCCTGTACTCCCAAGGTTGCAACTTCCCCCCAGCTCTAATTGTTTTTACTTGTCTTACTGGATCTTGATGCAAGTTGTTTTTAGCTGACATCTGAGGTCTATTGGTCCTGTGGTCAGGGAATGTACAAGCTTCTTCCTGCTGCTTCATGGGTGGGATGAGTGCTTGCTATTCTTGTTCCAGAGGCCACATCCCTAGACCAGCCAGGTGGAATGTTTGACTTTTCTATTTTCACCTATGTCATTTCCTTTTTCTCCAAAGGAGATTGTACTCCCCTGAATGAAGCTCTGGTCACCTCTTCCTGTGCCATTTGAGTGGGCAAGTGTGTGCATGTATGCATTTGTGGGTAGCCTTTGTAAAAGGGGACCATCTGGGAAAGTTTAGTCATGCTGTATCATATGGATTGGTCCAGTTGCTGTACACAGGCTGTTTCTTGTATGATGCTGTGAGACTCTGGAGTATGAGATGACTGTCTCCAGGAACTTTTCAGAGTGTCAGGACGCTAGGATTTGGGAATGATCATTAGCATTCACATGTGCCAAGTGGTCCCTTTTCTGCCTATACTTTGTGGCACAGCCTTTCTCTCCTTTTCTTCTGAGACCATTAATAGACATGATATTGTACCTTTTGCCCTATCTCATGTGCACACACACATTTCCACATTAACTGTCACTTCATTGGTTGCTTCTTAAGACTTCTCTCCCCATCATTTTTGTGATGAGCATGCGAATGTACCACAGAGGGTTTTGCTGAGGAGCCATCCCTAGGCCAACTAGAGGCAAGAGCAGGGAGGCACATATGACATTCTCCCCAGGTCAGGATGCCTGTAGGGCAGACTCCACTCCTCCCTCAGTGTCATTCTGGCTTGGCTGTCACATGGGCAGCAGCCCTAGGATAGGGATTGGGCTCCCATAAGCCCTACTCTTAAGTCTTACAACTGGTTAAGAGTGTAGAAGGAACCTCAAGGGGTCACTGGATTAATATTCCAGTTGAGCTCAGGCCACGAACTATCTGAAAATCAGAGCTTCCTGGAATTCCATGGGTGACTAATGACTATAGTCAGGAATTCTATGCTTAGGTCCCGCTGAAGTCCAGATGAATCCATTATTCTTTTGACTAACTTGCATACAAAGAGGATGGCTGCTGGGCCACCACTGTGCTAGCACCAACAGATAGACTGCTGCTGCACTTGAGAGGGGCTCCTTAGTAATCTAGACTATGAAGCCAGCTCTGCTGACACCTCATGGCCCAGTGTCTCACAGCAGCCTGGATGTGGTCTAGGGCAGAAGTGACTCTATGCTAGGACTCTGAGGAAAGGAAGAAGAAAACCTTGAGGAGGAGACATTGGGGAGATACCCAGGACCAAATGTTTTTGTGCAGAGACCACTTTCTAACACAATGGCCTTAGAGCTGGAAGTCTAACCATGAAGCCAGTTAATGTTTTTCTGCCCATATGTACCTATATGCATCATGGGTACATATGTAGCACCTCTGAACAAAGTGGGACTATTTATACAAATGAAAACGAACAGTGTCAATCGTGTTGAAATGTCTTTAAAGCAGCACTTTAGGTATTGTATTGTATACAGGGGAAGCTTATATAGAGGATAGCTGCAAGGAGGTCATCCAGGTAGAGTTCAGGCAGCTGGAATTAGGTAGAAGCAAGGAAGGAGGCCATTGAAGAAGTCAGGAAGGAGGAAGCATGAGGACTCTTCTTACTAGGACTGATGATTGGGGGGGCCTCACCTGTGTCCTTTGGTCTGCAGCATACCAGGGCTAACCCTTGTGGCCATTCCCCAGGACAAGCAGAGAGTTATGTGCCCAGAAGTACCAACTCAAAGGTCAGTTTTCTAGCACCAGATCTTTATCCTATCTGGATGGACAGGGTCCTGGGGCCTGGAACAGATGTCTCTGTGCCTGCTCCCAAGTGGCTGAACCCCAGCACAGGAGTCTTCCCTGTGTTGTTTTTGCTTGCCTTGAAGAGATGACCATGGTCCTCTGTGGGGTTAGTATGTCTTAAGGATACATGGCAAATGTCCAGTACTATCTTTGATTGTGATAACTAGAGCAGGGATGCTACTGGTATGTCCTGGGGAGAGGTCAGGGATGTACAGGCAGGCCCCACATCAAAGGAGAATCAACTCAAGAGTTTCCTTGGTTCCCAGAAGAAGAAACTGAATGATTTGGTCAGTGGCTTGCTTATATATTTATTTTTAAAACTAAAAATATGCTTGATTTGCTTAATAGCACAGGATACAGGACCCACCTACTCTATTTCCTGGAGGGAATGGGTAGACAGGCCAGAATTGTCCTACAGCCTTACAGGAAGTTGTAGTGGAATAGTTGTGGACTTTTCTTAGTCTTGAGGGATTCTGTGGGATCCCCTGCTCCCCAAAGTAGCAGAGCTACCTCTGTGTACCACCTAGGAAGTACATTGGTATCATTTCCCATGGCATTCTTGAACCAGTGCCTGTGATATGGCTCCATCTGGGTGTTTGAGAACAAAAGCAGCAGCTTTGAGCATCCTGTATCCACCTCTGGACCTGCTATTCTGCTTAGTCCAGCTTCAGCCCTCACTGGTAGCCTGTTCATCTACTCTCTCCAGCTGATTTTCCACACCATTAAGCCTGTAGCGTTTTATGACTGGTATTCTCCCTTAACACTTAGTCACAATTTGTTCCAAGTTTTTATTTGCCTGTTACACATTATTGCTGTATAATATGTTTTCCTTCTTTTAAATGATCTCTTATCAGCCGGATGATGATTTTCCCCAGTGACTGGGGTCTTGATAATTCTTCCTTGCTTTCTGTATTGTATGGGTGGCGTTTGGTGGACCAGACAAAGCAAGTTGGGCCTCACCAACTGTGGGATACATTGCTGTAGAATTTCTAATCTCAGTTTGGGAAGGAGGGGGTATAGGCTGAAGAGAAAGGTAGACTGGGGTGATCGCAGAGATGTCAGGAGTAAGGTGACTTTTAGTGGCTCTTCAGAATGTGGAATGATGTTCAGAAAGCTCTGAGGAATGGTAAGAGAGAGGGGTCTCTTGCTACTTGACTGGGCTGTGGGGATGCAGGTGAATGTCTGAGAGTTACATAGAGTGTGCCCTCAGGAGGGAGGCAGTAGTACTGGCTATGGATGCTTAGGAACCCTGACTGGCTGAATGGCAGACTAGCTGTTCTGACCATTGCCTTTCCAGGCAGCTCTGAAATGGCACTTACTTTTGGGAGTCTCTTTTCCTTTTTTGGGAAATTTTTTTCTCTCTACTCCCACAGTGTAGCTTGAGTGGTGGGTGTGGAGGCAAGGAAAATTTCCCTAAAAAGGAAGAGAAACTTCCAGAGTGTTTGCCGAGGTGAGGTGGGCGCCCGGGTGGCCCACAGACGAGGTGGAGCCTGAGGAGGCTGTCTGGGTCTCCTCCCGTTCAGGAGGGACAAGCAACTTCATTGCTGCATCTTTGCTTTTTGCTCCCTGTGCCTGGATCTTATGGCAACTAAAATAAAACTAAGGGACTTATTGCTTCTGGCCAGAGGCTCTGGGCCTTAGAGTAGGCCTGTTCTCTTCCTTTGCTCTCCTACAAGTTAAGCAAACAGATGGTCAAATGCTTCATTTTTATTGTAATAAAATACAGGTGACATAAAACTTACCATCCAGAGCACGTACTGTACACACATAGCATGTAAGGTAGCAGTGGGAACTCACATTATTGTGCATGAGAGCTCTGTCATCTTCCCTACTGAAAATGTCCCCATTAAGCCTTGACCTTACCTCTTGCTTTCCCACAGACCCATTCTCCTTCCTGTGTCTCAGTCCTATTCCACCAAGAGCCTCATACAAGTTGGTATCTTTTGCCAGAAGTGTTTATGACAGGTGATGGTGAGGATTTTGGAAGTATTCAGGTTTGGGGGTATTTGCATATATATAATGGGATATCTTGAGGCTGGAACCCAAGTCTAAACAGGAAATTGATTTATGTTTCACCTACACCTTGTACCATAGCCTGAAGGTAATTTTTTTAAATATTTATTTATTTTTTGAGACAGAGTCTCCCTGTAGCCCTAGCTGGCATGGGACTTGCTTTGAAGATCAGGCTGGCCTCAATCTCACAAAAATCTGCCTTCCTCTGTCTCCTGAGTGCTTAGACTAAAGGTGTGTGCCACTATACAAAGCTTCTAAAATAATTTTACACTGTTTTTCATGCATATGTGTTTTGACTATGCCCCATCATGAGGTTAGCTGTGGAATTTTCCACAGGTCAAAGCTTGGCTATAGTTTGGAACACTTCAGATCTCAGATTATGTGTAAGTGGATTCTTGCCTGCCCTGTATCTGACATATTTCACTCTGCATATGTCCTTAAGGTTTGCCTGCTGTGTTACAGCATGTGTCAAGGATTCTTTACCCTTTCCCTGTGGTAGGTCCACTGTTCTTGACCCCCTACCTACTCTAAGATGACCTGTGCCTTTCTTTATGAATGTCATAGGGTTGTGAGGCCTGGCCTG